CACTGAAAGTAAAACAAATTTCTATATAAATAAGAGAGAGAGAGAGAGAGAGAGAGAGAGAGAGAGTTGTAAAATTTAATACCTTCGTGGTAAATTGACTGCTGTGATTGTCCTAAACCTCCAAACTTCATACATGAATGCCTGCAAATATGGCATTTGGTTTCTGTCGGCGAACTTAGGACTCCTTTCTTTGCCAATCACTTCATCGATCTCTTTGTGTATCTGTTGTTGTATTTGCGGATTAGTGGCCAAAATCAATAGCGACCACTCGAGGGTCTGTAATACAGTGGCAGAACCCGCACCAAATAGTGTTAAGGCATTTCCCAGCAGCATTTCATCTTGATAATTTTAAATTATATAAATTATATTAAACTCATTAATTAAAATAAAATAAGTCTTACATTTAAAAGATGTCTTTTCGTTATTGTCTTGTTTTTGCATTTCATTGATAAAAGCGTCCAAATAATCCCTATTATTGTTTTTATCAATAGTTTTCACATGTGTTTCGTATTCAGATCTGAATGTAATACCGATTATTATTATTTAAATTGTAAATAAAATTTTAATTAAAAGTCAATTGTGATAATACCTGACAATATCAGTCACTCCGTCGATAACAGTCCTAATTCTGCGTAGAAATGGCGGCACAAAAAATGTCGGATATTTAAATACAATTCGGGTCAAAGTGGGGAAAAAAGCAATTAACCCTGTTAAACTTAGGGTCGGGTCGGGCTTTAAGAACTCGTCGATCGTTAACTTTTTGCTGTCCGTATACTCGAAACGTCGGCCGAAGTTAAGGGAATTGATATTATTTGAGACACTAATCGGGAATATAGTCCTGAACTCTATTTCCTGCCCCTCTTTGGTGTCCAAGAGTTGTGACAAATGATTGATTTCATCGATGATGTGGTCTTCCATTGAAGTCTTGCCGAAACCAAGATTCCTCAACTGATGCAAAGCAAACCTTCGCTGCTCTTTCCAAACGTCACCATTTATTGCTGTAAATCCTGAAAATGTTTTAAAATATTTGTAATTTTATTATTAGTGATGATTTGATTAAATAGCAAATACCAGAAGGAAATGCTGTGTTAAACGCGTTGTCTTTAGGCCGATATAGAGCCGTATCGTCAGAAAGTGCCTCTTTTATTGACGGCCAGTCATTGAGTACCACTACTGGACACGAACCCAATTGTATACTGTAATGTTAAAATTAACATGGTTATTTTATTTAGTTTTATGAATATATTTTTTAAAAGCAAACCCAAAAACTGGTCCATATTTTTTGGCCAATTGTACGAACGTTTTGGAGGGCTCGCCCTTAAGAAAGGGTAGATAACCGACAAATGGTAGTCCCAGAGGACCCGGCGGCAACTTTTTCCGCATTTCATATTCACTGTATATTTGTTTTGACCCAAAATACACGAATAAAGATATTAACAAAATTAAAGAGTTTGAATAAACCCAATAAATCACTGGCAATAAAAACATATTTAAAATATTTTTAAAAATGTTTATCTTTGTGTAAAATAATTTAATATAAAGTTTTAAAATAAGTTTAAAATATTTTGGATTATAAATATAATTTCTGAAAGTATTTATACCAAAATATAAGTTATAAAATGTACTTTATATTTATACATGTACATTATATTGATTGGTAAAATTATTTTTCATAGTACACTCAATGCACTAAATTTTTAATTAATTTTTGCATTTACTAAATAATTAATTGGTAATAGATTAATGTAATAGATGTTTATTTTCATAATATTTTGAAATAAGATACGATATAATTATAAATTTGATTTATATTTAATTTTTATATATTAGTACAGTATGATTAAACTGTCATTGTGAATATTTTACATCTTGATAAAACAATCAACCTTCATGAAAAATATTTAATTTATTAATACAGTAGTACAGTTACTTCATTGTTCATAATTATAATTAATTTTTATTATTAAATGTAAATACAGAATATAATCATAAAAGTTATCAAATAATTTATCATCATTATGATTAATATAAGGAGTAATTTGAAAAATATAAATTTTTATAAAAATAACATTTTTAATTTAATAAACATTTAACTCTCTGAATGGTTGGTCATTGAGGACACGATCCCAACCAAAACGCGTCAAATCAATGGTTTTATATTTGTTGTGAACAATCAATTCGGCGACAGCTCTGCCGACTGCGGCTCCCATTTGTATGCCGTGACCACTAAAACCCGCCGCCCAATACATATTGTCATAATAGGGGTCTTTGCCGATCACCGCGTTTTGATCCATAGTGTTATAGTCGTAAAGTCCGGCCCAACTTGTCTTCAATTTAATTGATTCAAACGCTTTCACTCTATGGGCTAATTGTGGCCAAACTGTGTTCTCGAAGAATGAATAGTCGACATCTAAGTTATCAACACTCGGCTCTTCGGCCTTCAGTTCAATTCATTTGATGGTAATTTAAAAGTATAAAAAGTATGCAAAAAATTATTTGTATGAAACATACCTCTATTGGACATAAACTGGACAAATAGTTGCCTCCCTTTCCTTCGGGTCGGAAGTAGATTGAAGACGTGTCAAAGACCAACGGACACCGGTCCGGGTCGGGCCCATCATTGCATTGAAAGACAAAAACATATCGTTTCCTAAAGTTTTAATGCAAAATTATATTTGAGTTATTGGGTCTCATGTTATGATCAAACGGTTCATACCGGGGCTCAATTGGCAAAGCAACTGATCGGACACCCGATTGATCTGATCCATAGCCCAGAGATTTAGCGACAGCACCGGAAAAAGCGCCGCAACAGACAATACCGGTGCCAAAGGCCAGGGCTTTGACGGTTCCGTCAGATTGTCTAATAATGGCTTCATTACACGTCTGGATGTTATGGCCGTCACTATCTGTTTGGGCCGTATTTTTCAAATTAAATCCGATTACTTCTCCGTTCATATAATTAGCTCCGAGTGATTGAGCTTTTGCTTTAAATGCCATGAGAAGAGCCCAGGGATCAAACCACCCCTCGTTGCGCACCCCATACGCGGCCAACACTATCTCATCGGTGTTAACCCAGGGAAACATCGAGTTAACTTTGGCCGGAGATAATAGGTCTATCTGAGCGCCCAATTCTGTCTGTAATCGTTGATTTTGGATCAGTTGCTCGGCTCCGGACTCTTTGGTCAACAGTAGGTATCCGTTGAGTTTGAGGTTAATATCGGGCGCACTCTGGCCATCGATTCCGAGATGTTGACCAATATTTTGCAACAATTTTGAGCTGTGAAGCGACAGCAGAATATTCTCGGCGTTTGAAAATTGTTGTCTAATACCGCCCGCCGATAGACATGTCGAGCATTTGCTAAACTATTTGAAAACATGATAAGCTTTGTAGCGATTGTTAGTAAAATTAAGTAATTAAGTTATTTGAGGGCTATTTTATGCAATATTCCTATG